GCTGAAACCGTGGCCACGAAGAGCTTTCATTTCCCAGACTTTTTAAACCTAGTAGCAGCGTAACTTCGGATATACAACGACTCGACAAAATAACTCAGTAAGGTACTCACCCTGTCCATTGGCACTCAACTTTCAAACTTTACAAAATAGCAACAATTAGTTCTTCAACTCTCTTCCTATCTCAACTGATGACATGAGTTTGGGTTAAAAAAGAAGATAAAAATTTATTTTCGAACAACTTTGGGAAAAAGGGACGCAATTGAAAATTTTTAAATTTTTTTCATTATTTAAATTTTTTTTTTAAGTGTCTACATCCCATACATTTCCAAAATAAAATGTATGACCACGAGGAAATCTATTGAATTTGGTTATTGTAAACAGGTAAAAAAAATTTTTCGACGTTTCACAACATAGCAAAAATCACTATCCAAGTTACACGAACTTCATTTGGTTAAAAAATCATACCATAGTGCCAAAACTAATAGGTATATTTTATTAGTTGTCGGACTCAATTCGTAAGGAAAAAATTTTATTTTAAAATTTTTTCTATTCCTATACCGCAGCAGTAAATTGAAAGCTTGAGCGGAAACATAGCGTTATTGCATCAATCAAATTTTTTTTTTTTTATAATTCCTTTTTACTTTATAGGTTCGTTGTTTTTTTTTTTTTTCCTTGATCATTCAACTCTTAAATCAAATTTATAATTAACTCAAATAAATGCAAATCACGAATGTTAATTCTGTAATTAATTAAAACTACGTGCGCAAATAATGATCGTAAAAAATAAATTAAATGAAAAATATTAAAACAACGAAGTTACCGCGTTATTAACGAAAGTGACAATTATTGCAAGTAAAAAAAAGGGAAGAAATTGAAGGTATATGTATTAATAAAGGAAGGCGAACTGGGTTGGTTCTTTTCCGAACCATTTGGAAAGTGCGGTGTGGTGGCAGTGGAGGTGGATATGCTCAGGCATCCCTAGTTGTAATTTAATTAGACTCCTAAAAAGGTGCAATAAATTCTTATTGTATCTATTTCGATCCTTTGACCCAATGAATATCCAATTCCAATTATTCTTATATTATACTTACACGCAGTGCAATATATAGGTAGAACTGATTTAAATTATAATTTGTCGCAAAGAAAAAATTTTCAACGTCTCCCATCCGAAATTACATACAATTATTTTTATATTCCTCACGACATCATTTTATCCTAATTTTTAATAAAATAAACTAATTCATGCTTTTTCTTTAAGTATTGTTGTAAGGTGGAATTTATTTCAAAAAAAATTTAAGAATTTACATTTAGAATGCAGTACCTTTATTTGGTAATATAAGAATTTATTTCCGAGCTAATTAGACCAATTATGGAAAAATTACAGTTGGAAAAAATTTAAACCGAGGGCTGAGTTTTCTAATAGATAAATTCTATGCAAAAAAAAAAAAAGCTTTGCCCGAACACAAAAAAAAAAATTAAAAATTAAAAAAAATGGTTTTAAAAGAACAATTTAGAAAAAAATCTGAAAGACTTGGAACCGAGAATCAAGGAATTAAAGCAAAGTTACGAAAGGTTCCTCACACAAATCAAATATTTAGAAGAAAAAGTTAGAGAACGAGAAGAAGAAGCGAAAGCCGAGCAAGAAATTATAGAAGAAAAGGTTAGAGAACGAGAGAGAGTGTCTAGAAAAAAGCAAGAAATTATTAATGAATTAGAAAAGAGAATCAAAAGTCTTGAATCAATTATTTATGATGATACGATTGATAGTTTAACCATTACTTATACTAATAAGGATTACATTTTGAAAACCTTAGGCGGATTGCAAAAATATCGAAAATTGACAAAACTCAATTGTAGAAATTCTCAAATAACAAGTTTACCAACATTACCAAACTCTTTAACTCTGCAACTCAAATAAAAGCTTACCAACATTACCTCACTCTTTAACAGAACTCCATATTCAACTCAAATAACAAGCTTACCAACATTACCAAACCCCTTAACTTGTCTTGACTGTTCTGATACCGAAATAACAAGCTTACCTACATTACCTAACTCTTTAACGAAACTGTATTGCTATAGTACTCAAATAACAAGTTTACCAACATTACCTGACTCTTTATCAGTGCTCTGGTCTTCTGAAATGCAAATAACAAGCTTACCAGAATTACCTTACTCATTAATTTATCTCCGTTCTTTTGACTAAACTCTGTTGCTATGAAGCTGAAATAACAAGCTTACCAACATTATCTAACTCTTTAACTAAACTATATTGCTATGAAAATCAAATGACAAGCTTACAAACATTACCTAACTCCTTAACGGTATGAAACTAAAATAATTAGCTTACCGAATAAACCCGATTCCTTAAAGAATATCTACCCTGAATATTTAAAAATCAATAATCAGACAACTTTCCTGCCAACTTCTAACACTTGATAAAATTTAACTGAAAATTACTTAAAATAAATGATCAATTTAACTTTATTGTTTATTAATTATACAAGCAATTCTTTTATAAATAAATATTTTTTTTTTTAAGATTTAATTCATATTCAGTTGTTGAATCGAGAAAATGATATTTAATTTTTAAAATATAAAGAAAATCGCACCAATACAAATTTGTGACAATATAGCTTCCTTTAAATTTTACATGTTCAATTAATAGTAAGAATGTAAATCTAAATGTCATTTTATCGTATAATCAATGAATTTGATCCAAAGTATTGCTAATATAATATATCCAAGCTATTTTGCACATTTTGGTTTTATAGGCCTTTGCTTTAATTTCAATTATTTAAAAAGATTATATTAATGTCAATTTATTATTTTTATTTTACGCTTTCAACCTTATTCTTGTCTTATAAAAGAATCTGATCGTAAGTGAATCGTATTATAAATAGTTTTCTAAATCATTTATTTCTCTAAGGAAATAGTTAAGTATTTAGTTATTTGGTTTGTTTCGGTACAATTTCAGGTATAATATCAGTTATTTAATTATGTACCTTGCTAACCAATTATGCGGGATTTGAATTTGGAATTGTTAACGACTTCAATTGTTATATGTATCTTGGTATAATTTTTATTTTTTTTAATTAATAAATTATTTATCTAACGCGCTTTTTTTTTGTTTTTTTTTTTGCAGAAAAAAAGATTTATTTCGTATCAAACCTCGTTAACGTTAATAAATATTCATACATCCAAGAAGTGAATTCTACTAGGTAAATATATAAATTTTTTTTTCATATTATATATAATGTTCAAACTTTATAAATACTAATTATAATAAATTAAAAAGTCTATCTGGAATAGTATTGAGAATCAAAAATGAACCAATAAATAGATTTACCTAAATTACCCCCGTATGCGATATATTATTTGGAGAATATGTATTAATAATATATCATTCCTTGAATTTTTTGGTTAGAGTGGATTTTGTATGTTTAAAACTATTTTAAGTATTTATATTGATTAAATTTTAAAATGTAAATATTATTATTAGAATGATTTACCATATAAGTATACGTTTAATGATTTATCAAAACTGGTTGGATTAGGTTGGATTGAATGTACCCTTCCGTTTGTAATATACCATACGGAATGGTTACAACCTTCAATTGAAGTAGAAAGTGGAAATATTGATATGGTAAGATTTTATTTAATTATTTCTAAAATTTTTATTTAAGATAAAAAAGACTAATATGATTTTACCATTAAAAAAAAAAAAGAAAATAGATTATGTTCAACTCGCATTAATTAAACGAGATCAAGTGTTTGTTACCAGTGTATATTATCTTTTGCAACATATAAATGACATCCAAATATTCCAGAAACATTTGAGGATAAGTATTTTCAAAAAAATCAACTTGATAATTTACTTCAATTAAATGATATTCTTGACTATTTGTAATTTCATATGTTCTATAGTATTCTTCGTATTGTCTTTTTAAATAATTTTTCTTTTTACTGATCGGATGTTTTACATGTATATAACATCATGGCAATGTACGTTCCATCAGATCTTAATATGTTTATTTATTTGCGGATTAATTAATTATTTAGGATTGCATAGTCTAACTTTATTTCTAATGCATATGAAAGAAATTTCGAAAACCTCAGAAATTCTATTTATAGAAAATGACTTTTTAGTCTGAAAAGCGAATTTAAAAATTAATTAATTCAATCAAATGGATAGTTAAAATTTATGATTGCAAAGCAGTGAATTGGTGGTTTCAAAATATTGTAGAGAAATAAATATTAATTTTTATTATATATTTCAAGTCGAAATGACCAAGGACATTTCAAAATAGTAAATGACCTTATAATATACTATCTTGTGGAGACATTTTAAGTCTCAATGATAACATTTACAAGACAAGAAAAATTACTTGTACTAATTTATTAAAGTATTACAATTTGTTCAAAAAACGATTAATTTTAAAAATGAAGTCACCTTCTTCGATCTTGTAGAATAAATATCATGACGCGGAAGGTACTTCAACTTCTATTTGCTGATTTTGCTGGCAACCTACTAAAAATTATAAACTCTGCGGGACTTTGGCTAAAATCAAAATCTTCTATAAACATAAGGAACATGGTCGGTTAATTTATTCGGAATGCACTTAAAGAGTCCAAACAGGAAAATTTATATTAATTGAAAATAGCGAGACCAAGTTAGGGCATTTAATTGATAAAAAAAATCATAATCGATGATTTGGTCGATCTCTTACTCACTTGATCGATTAAAAATCG